GGATTTTGCAACCAGCAAGCGTGTCGCGTACTGTTCTCACTGTAAACTCAGGGATAATATCTATTTATAGTCGAAGTCGTAAGGCCTGTTTATGCAGTTGTAGAAGGCTTTTCACATAGTCGCCCAGCAGCCGTTGGTCACCCATGAAGAATCCATCGAAACATAACTCTGTCGGGAACCCACTTCATTTGGAGAAACGGCTATGGCGTAGCGCTGTATTCAGGTGTTCACTTGTAGCATCCGATGAACTAACAGCATAGAGCATTTGCCGTTGATCAATCCCCTTTTGGGATGCGGCACGCATTCTACTTCCATTTGTACATTCGCAGTGGCGTTTGAATGCGATGTGGCCTATACAATGACTTGCGGGGGCCAGCCGATGTACAAGTCAGTGTTTTTATCCTCCCAGACAAGTCTGGTACCAATTAACCGACCCCGGAGGGATGGAAGGCTTGGTTGGCCCGGGCGACTCACGACCCAGGATTTGATCCCGGACCGTGCAAATGGTGCCACGTGCTACTATAACACTTCCGACTTGCATGGGAGCAGTTCAACCGTCCGTTGATACAAGCACCAACGAAAGGGTCGTATTCAGCCCACGTAGCGTGGAGGAGGGGGGTGTGAGTAGGACGATCATCAGTGGAAATCGTGGATCGCCTTTGAAACGCGTCAGCAAAGTATTAGAATACACAAGCACGGCGCAAGCGTGGCGCACACCACGGCAGGGTTTGTTATGGCAAAGCCTTGTATTTGAGTTATCAGGTATTTAGGAGGGCTTGCGATATTTCTGGAGTAAACTGAAATGCAGTGATACTGGTAGGGTTTTGGCACGGGCGCCCAGCTATTCTTCAGAAAAAAACCTCCGTGGGTGCACCAGTACTTATTCTTTACTTTTCTCACGTACAATCACGTAGCCGGGAAAAGCATTGTAATTTATAATTCTCGGCGATTTTCCATAATTTCGTAATAGAGAAAGCTTGTTGCGATTTGTGTGTCTACAGCGGCATCCGGAGCGAAAACAAAGATGAATGCTGTTTTGGGGCGTGGCTAAGCGTATAGAGGGCCCTCTCCATCCGTTACCAATGGTCCCCGCCGAAGCCATCTTCTTTTCTTGCCGCAATATCTACTATCGCCCCGAAATTCCTATACCACTCGCTCACGAACACTTTTAGTGTCGTGTAAACATACTGTTTTCTTGATCAGTCGCTCTCAAAAGCTCTGCTCTATAAATTGAATGAATTATTTCACTTCATCATCAATAACTAGTGGTTACACAAGCTGTGGTCATAATTTCAGCTTAGTTACGTCATATTTTTCTGTGAAATTTCAGCTACTTATGGTTGTTGCGTTGGAGAGCCGTTCTGGCCCTTACTTCTGCCATCTCGTGCCAACTCTTTGCCGGTCTTTGGTAGCTCGTACTTCGTTAATAAGGACCCGTGTACAGAGAGAAGCGTCTTCAAACTGTCACAAATATGCTCATTGTCAGTTTAGCAGTCTCGGATTTCATGGTTAGTAGGTGAAACTAGTTTGGAAACATTGATTCCTTATTTTTTATAAGCCCCTACAATTAAGTAAGCTCAAAGGCACACCATCGCGTTTCTAAGGTTCCCCTTTATCATGACCCCGCCCCCACCCCAACGATTGGGAGTTGTAGAAGGCAATTTTTCAAAACATGTGGAAAAGCAAACTAATCCACACTATTAGCTTCGCCCAGTTGTGCTCATCGTAGACAGACATCAATGATTTGTAGCATAACGGCTTTTTTAGGCCAAAACATCAGACGGTAGCACTGTTAGGAAGGCCAGGGGGTGCTGAAAATTCCAGGGATCGAGGTGATTCTCCAAGATTCATCGAATGACTTACATTAAATCAGGCGATGTTCATATGTAGTAACGAATGGGGAGGGTGTTTTGGTGCTATAGGTCAAGTGGGTTACGGTAGTCGTGATTCCACACAAAAATTATTTTGAACATACCAAATGCTATGATCTTCATTTTAGGGCCATTCCTTAGCCTTTTTTGTATTTTACACAGCTTCTGATGCTGGACACGCGCAGAAACAGTCGTGAACCACGGCAATGAGATTTTTCGGCTAAGCTTAAGAGAGGGAGCTTCTGCTGAGTGGACAAAAAAGTCCACCGGCGTAAAAATGGGTTTTCTAATTTTGCGAGAAATTCAGAGCCCTCCTTCCTCCCAAAGCTGGGCGAAATTCTTTATTTCTCTGGCCTGGCTTAGTACCTGCTTTACGAAATGCATCTCCCCTTAACGACAATAATTTAGCACCGGTACCCATACCGGTAACAAACCACCATATTTTTTGCGACCTCTTATTCCAGACTCACATGACATCTAGGACCCATGTGTTGAGACTTCCTCAATAATGCACTATTCTTTACTAATTAAACTAAGCTAATAATAAAACATGATGCTATATTTGCGGTTGAAGTCTTGGAGGCCACCAATTCCCCCCCCCCCAACCTTCTATGAAGCATATTTGAGCCTATAATTAGCAATGAAATGTTTTTACCTCTTCGTCTAAAGTTTGGAATCTCCTACTCATTTCAGGTTGCTATTTGTGTGATGTCGTTTGGAGTCTACTATGAGGTTTGGAATTTTTTGACTTACATTTTAGTAAACTATCTGAGTCTATTCAATGATACTAGAGTTTCCATTATTCTATGATATTGCAATTTGAAATTTGGGATGAACTTAAAAATAGAAACGTAGTTTCAATAAGCTGGCAGCAGTGCGCTCTTCCCACCAATCACTTCGCTTTGGTGCCGATGTTTACAAAACGTAGTACTATGGTGGTAACACTATGATATGTTTCCTGGAAACATTAAAAAAACTCGTTTTCGTTTTTCCCAAACTGTACACTCGTCACTTTTCGTTGCACCACTTCCGCCCGATGTTAGCTATAAAGGCGAAATTGTGCTAGGGGCAAATGCTGCTGCTGGCGGCGCATCCGTCCGAAGATCTAAGCCCTGTTCGTAGGCTCGTCCCCAAGTGAATATCACAGCCTTCCAATATCCGGAGTCGGTTTAGTACCATACTTGTCCTAAGAGATTAAAAACCTGCTTGGACACTGCGCGCAAATTCGCCTGTAAAACCTTCCAAAAACGCACAAGTGTCCCTATACAATTTCGGGAAGCTGACATGAACGGTGGCCGCCTCCCTAACGAGTGATCACGTTGAACCCCTTAATCTCCTTCAGACCCATATCGCTCGAAGCAAAAACTGTTCCGCCACCTCCGAAGCGACGTTCCTCTCCTTTTCTCTACACCTTCGCCGTGTTGCATGCCTTCTTTATAGCTCTACCGAGCAATTTGCAAGCTTGCCAATTTTACCACTCAACGTTAAGCTTTTTCTTTTTTCGGAAGATTTCTTCTCCTCGATGTGTGATGGTCCTTGATGCCGTGAGGTCACAGCTACTTGCGAAAAAAAGTATTTCCCCGTACTAGTTGTTTTTTGCCCAGTGATCTCCGCAACATTCCGCCTGATCGTACCTTGAAGGTCGTTTCCTTCGTAATTTTTATATAGTCACTACCGATATACTGCTTGATTCATCGTGGAAGGTTCCCATTGGTTCAGGAGTGGTAGAGCCACATACAGCTCCCGTAGCCCTGAGTCCTAGAGAACGTGCGAGGTTGCTGCCCGCTCCAACTAGCAAGACACGTTTGATTCCTTCATGGAACGTTGAAACTCCAGTTTGGGGTGGGGGGTGGAAGGCACTCCATTTGGTACTGGTGACGCCATTCAACGCAACTTCCGATGAGTATCGTGTAAGTGAAGGGAAGAAACTCCTTGATAACATTGCACCTTTCCGCCTGCTATGCTGCACGGAGAATGTCTGCAACAGGAGAATGGGACCGCTCTGCCTAGGCCCCAGGAAGTGTAAGGATTCTTGCAGAGTTGATGACGTGGCAGAAAAGTGGTAGTGTGGGGCAAATGTGTGAATGAGGACATCCACATGGTTCGCATCAAAGTGCGCTTGGATGAAGTCGTTACTTATGTTTCTTACCACCAGGGTTTGACCCAGCGCCCAAGGAGTGCCTTTCTAGTATGCGGATGAGATAGCAAGAGCTGCGCCCCCCCAACGAATGAGTTACCCTTTTGGAACTTGGGCGAACTGCCGGCGTTGGTCGGTCCGCTTATCTGAACCCTCTCACTAGAATACTGTAACCTCGCGCACTGCAACTTTACAGACGTTGAGTGAGTCACTCTACCCACACCTCTGAAGTGGATGGATTTCCTTGGCTCAGAGATATTTTTGTTTTCTATGTACATACCCTGACTTGGTGGCAGGGCAAGTATAGCAGGACTCTTGCGCCGCCGGCCTCATTTTACCCCCCCCCTCCTTCCTACAGCACCAGCAGCTTGTTCCTTTGTTCAAGAATGTCAGGCTTTGAGGTAGCTCCTGGGTCACCGCAATGAAAAGTTGAATTGAGCAATATCTGTGCACATTTTTGAAAGAGGACATTCGGAAGTAGAGAATTGAAACTGAATCCTCGCTATCCAGAAATTTCTATTTTTTTGTATTTTTTGAAACTCCCACGCAAAATTTTCGGCACAACGCTTTCAATGAAGGCAACATATTGGAGCGCAGCCATTACTGCAAGTGACTTGAGCGTTTCTTGTTGGAGGTTGAAGACAAAGGATTCTATGGCGACCTCAGACGCAGTAAATGATGTGCTGTAGTAAATCATGAAGCCTTTTGATGCTCAATGACTAAATGACGTGTAGAGTCTTAGAGAGCTTTGGTTACTTCAAGCGATGATTGCCAACCGCGTGGCTTGGACTGGCACGAAGAATCTGTAAGGGGAGAGATTCCGCATAAAAGTGAGACTTCGTTTTCGAAGGACATGAGTTGTTTCTAAACAGAATTTCGTGCAGAGCACTCATGAGAGGTCTGAGCATCGTGGCGGGATCATCCAGGTGTTTGCTTGATATTCAAGGAAACCATAGCCTATTAACCTGATCGGGGTATTCGATTTACCGATGGCATACTACCTTCTTCTATACGTAGAGTAGCTCCAAAACGGCTTTGCTGAGGTGGAGGGAACGAGCTCATTTGCTAGAAACTCATAACAACTGACGAGAGGGCTTACTGTAGAAGACAGTACTCCATAATAACTTAAGTTTGACCACACTACAGCACAAGAAGTTGCATAGCTTTTTAGCACGAAAGATTTTGTTTTGCTCACAACACCGTCAATGCCTCTTCAAAAGGCTGCTTCGTAGATTTTGTTGAGCTTAACACTGTCGTATTTCCTGTATATACTATGTTATGACATGCAAGCAAATACACCTTCGCTTATATGCCGGCCTCCCTCCCCACGAAAGTTTGTTGGAGCGAAAAGCGAAGAAAAAGCCTTTTTCCAAAAGTGAAAAGCTTCTGCAGTACTCAAAGAAAGGCGACCATTGTCTCAGTTTTTATAATGAAAAGCAAGCCGCAGTGGGAACCCGCTGAGAATAAATTGGAGAATGCTGGGTTCATAATTTTTACACCATTATACACAGTGCTAAACAGTTCGAATGAACTCCTATGGAGTTGATGCTCGCTTTCTCTATAAATGTTGTGCAAATGGTAGTCAAGCGCGGTTTTTAACTTCTAAATTACATGTCATGTTGTGCCATGTGTGGAAATGTCTCAGTTGCAGGCGAACCCACTCTAACAGACATAGCGCGTCCTATAACTAACATGGAGCAATATGTTGCGGGTCTCTGAATGCTGTATGTATAATACAACTAAGGGGCGAGCGGCATTAAAAGTTCCACAAAAAATCAGAAAACTCGACTTTTATGTTAGCTTTTATGTTCCTTTTTTTTTATCCCATGTCTGTGATAATAGCGTTGGGGGGGGGGGGAATCTACTGCGGTACGCGTCTCCAAGGCTGGGGAATTCTCCTATCAGGATTTGAATTACAGCAACACGCTTATTTGAAACAAGAAAGAGGGAAAAATTGTGAGGAACAGAACGGAATGTCAGAAATGAAACCCTTGTCCTTGCCTGTTGATTACCGTATTGTGCGACTGACATCGTGCCCTCTTCAACACTGACGCTCTTTTTGGTACGTCGGTGGGCGTACTGCGCCAACTGCGCCAAGAGTGAGCCATGCTAGATCGCCGAGGTCAAATCTTTCGCTGCCAATTGCGCGTCAGTTCGCACCCTCAGGAAACCCGTCTGTCTCCCAACTAGGCAATTTTCTCCTTCTGACCTTCGTTCCTATCGTGGAACTCCTTGAAGTGTTTAGATGTGCTGGATTAGTGACACATTGAACAATTCTGAAAACATGGCTGAGTATGTTCCTTTGCTTTTGATGGGACTTGCGTAAGGATTGTTGTGATAAACAGAACATCAAACGGAGATACCCTTACATTTGAGTTTCCCAATGGAACTGTGAAGGATATTTCAAAAGATTTTTTTCAGCGTAACGATTTCAAATGGAGTATGGGACAATTCTTCTGTAACCTCTATTTGGCAAGCGATGTAACGTGCTCGACAGCATCTATACTCAACTTATTAGCGATATCAATGGACAGGTGATTGTTAAGAAGGCGGCTTTGTTGTGTTCCAGAGAAGAGACACAAGATTTTCTTAACAGATTCACGACAGCGCGGGACACATATCTCCGCGTAGCAAGCCGCCTTATAGGCGGTGTGGGATATATGTGTCCCACGAATATTCAACCAATTTTTTTGTGCATCTGCAAGTTCTTCATGGTTTTTTTGTATTCATTTCCTAGACCATGTCTTAGCATACATACAAACGACGTGGTTGACAAAATAGCTAGATATGCTTTGATTTACGATGTTTTCTTAAGCTTCCCAAAATTTCAGGCTTAATCTTTCTATTTTGTTCTTGTATTTTCACGCACCTGGAACAACCATTCCATAATGCTTCGGGAGTCCACTGCAGACTAGACTAGACTTACTAAATTTTCCTCTTTTACTGGTATTTCTCGTCCTTCAGGTGAAGCTACTATTACCCCCTAGATGACTTCCACCCATTGACCATTAGAAGTGTTTCTTTTGCATCCATGTTTCGTGAATTCATCACTAAAAATCCGCGGATGGTTGGCGCTTTTGGCGCTCGCGAAATCACGTACCCTCCCCTTCAAAAAACAAGAAAGCGTCGGGTGCAGACCATACACCACAACTGACGACGGCCGCGAGAAAGTGGCAGTTGACAACCGACAAGGAAATTTATTGGTTGCAGTTGTATTCTATTAGCTATCCGTATAATTCTACTTCGCTCGTCATCATTTTATTCAGGTGAGTTATTTGTAACAACAGAACTCGACATAATATATAAAATTTGCGAAACTCACCACGACAGCATTCGATGGTAGCAGTGAAATCATTGAC